CATGTGGCGTCTTTTTTTTTTGGTTTCGCCTAAATTTTGGATGTTTCTCCTCGACGGCGAATTTTTCAGCCCCAGGATTCCCCAGGTATAGACAAATCCTCCATTATCTGCACGCCAACCCATTTCACCAAACATTCTTAAGATTTAGGGTTTCCCTGCTACCCCCCTCTACACTACCCCCCCTAGGTTCCCCAAATAGCTTTAGTTAGGGGGGGGGGGGGGGAACCTAGGGGGGCGGGGGGGTGTAGTGCAGAGGGGGGTAGTAGGTAAACCCTATACCCTAAACCCTAAACCCTGAAACCCGAAACCTAGGGGGGGGGCAGTAGGGGAACCCATGATAAGACCAGACGCAACGTGGGAAGGGAGGGCTGCGCTGTCATTTTCTGGGGGGACCCGACAAAATAGAGTTGTAGCAGGGGAGCCGGAATGGTCCACCGACCACTGGCGAAGGGATCTCAACCCTAATTAAGCTCTAAACCCGAAAACCTAAACTCTAGCCAAGCTGCATACTGGGCAGCCACTGAAGGAAAGGAACCACCTGGTTCGCGCAAGAGTGTCCCACAATGGCAGCCCTAAGCTTGGAATCTGGGTGTAGGGTATAGGCTACAAGGGCTTGGGTGTGGGGTGTGGGGTTTAGGGCGTTTAGGGTTTAGGGTTTAGGGTTTAGGGTTTAGGGTTTAGGGTTTAGGGTTTAGGGTTTAGGGTTTAGGGTTGGGGGTTGGGGTTTGGGGTGGATATCCGAGGCTTCCAAGGCCCGTAAACCTCTTCAGCAACAGCCCACTTTACTAAGCCCTAAGCCCTAAGCCCTAAGCCCTAAGCCCTAAACCCTAAACCCCCCAAACCCTAAACCCCCCAAACCCTAAACATTCCAGGACGCAATGTATGTGAAGCACCGCCACTCCACACCCAGCATGGCCACCAGGAAAGGCACGAAAACGATCCAGAGCCACACTGGATAATTCGGAGTTCCATGGTCCTGCGAGCTTACCCTAAACCCTAAACCCTAAACCCTAAACCCTAAACCCTAAACCCTAAACCCTAAACCCTAAACCCTAAACCCCCAAACCGGCGGTTGCCTCCAACCCTAGCCCTAAGCCCTAGCTTCAAGAGGGGACATCCTAAGTTTAGGATTGATGATGGCTCAGGGCCCCTCAACCCGAATTTAGGGTTTAGGGTTTAGGGTTTAGGGTTTGGGGTTTAGGGTTTGGGGTTTAGGGATAGCAAATACTAGACACCTAAACCCCCAAAACCACAACCCTGGCAGGGTTCAGCCCCAGACCCGCAAACCGTTCCCTGAATCCAGCTTGGCCCTTCTATGAAACCTCTTCAACTGGGAATGGCATGCAGTGGCACGTTGCAAAAAGATCCCGATGGAAGCTGGCTGCTCTAGACACTGATCCTCTTCGACGCAATCAGGACATTTTCGATGACTCAAGAACCTAGCAACCCCCCAAATCCTTAAACCCTAAACCCGAAACCCCCCTAAACCCCCTAGAAACCCCCAACACCCTAAAGAAACCCGAAGGACCAGCACCATGTGCAGGAGAGGGTTCCGAGCATTCCGTGCGCGAACCGGCGAACCAGGGCAGAAACACTGCGAAGCAGATGTTCACAATCCTGAGGTTTGAGGTTTGGGGAATAGAGCTTAGGGTTGAGGGGCTTTGAAGTTGTGGGTTGCAGGGAGTCAGGGTGACAGCTTTTAAGTCCAGGATTTAGGGCATACAGCGTGTTTGTTCGCGGATCGGAGTTTCGAGGGAAGGATGCCATGCTCCGCTTAAGCAAGAGTCGAGATTCAAGAGAAAGCTCATTGATCTAGGGTGTTGTGGATTGAGGGTTTGCGGTTTCGGGTGGAAGGCTCTGAACATCAGGCGAAGAGTCGTTGCCGGCCACAGCAGTCGCACAGCCGGGCCGGATGTATCAAACATTGTCAGATAGCTTCCCACGCGCGGGTCAGGATTGGCTTTCTTCTCCTGCAACGGGACCCATGTTCCCGAAGCCTTAACCCCTAAACCGTGTTCAACCCGAACTGAAGCCATTCACACCCTAAACCCTAAGCCCTAAGCCCTAAACCCTAAACCCTAAACCCTAAACCCTAAACCCTAAACCCTAAACCCTAAACCCTAAGCACCTCACTTGGAGTCTGTGGTCTATTTCAACACCTCTGCGTGAGAAGTTCTCGACATGAGTGTCCTTTTTTTTTTTTTTTTTTGGGGGGGGGGGGGGGGGGGTGGTCCTTCTGATGAGGGTACCATACCCTTTTGGGACCAAACCTATATTTAGGGTTTAGGGTTTATAGGGTTTAAGGTTTATTGGGTTTAGGGTTTATAGGGTTTAGGGTTTATAGGGTTTGGGGTTTATAGGGTTTAGGGTTTTTAGGGTTTAGGGTTTAGGGTTTAGGGTTTAGGGTTTAGGGTCTAGGGTCTAGGGTTTAGGGTTTAGGGTTTAGGGCTTAGGGTTTAGGGTTTAGGGTGGGGCAGCAAACTACGCTCTGGGGATTAGGTTCGGGCTTAGGAAGAAGGGGTTCACATCAGTCATGCTTTTCCCTGTATTTCCGCTACAATCTAAACCCCAAACGCTTAGATGGTCAATAGTATGGGCCCTTAAAAGGGTACCCTTTATATACCCCTCCTACACCCTATACAATCCAAGGGGCCAGACTTCAGAAGCTTTTAATGGAAGTACAGGACCATGTTAAGGGCCCATAGAACTACCCTTAGATAAACCCACTACCCTTAGATAAACCCCCAACCATGAACCCTGCCTTCAAGATGTTGCGCACAACCTCCGGCACACCGAGTGGGTGTGTCAGCAAGCACTTCAATACCGCACTGTTGGCATGGCCCTCACCTTGCCCAGTGGCTTGGGGCTTCGGATGTCTGAGCCTACAGGCTGAGAGCCTGTATCAGTTTAGGGTTTAGGGTTTGGGGTTTAGGGTTTTATGGTTGAGGGTTTGGGGTTTAGGGCTTTAGGGTTTAGAGCCAACTAGAGTATCTCCAGCAAAGAAAATGTGGGACCCCTAACACACTTGCAATCAAAACCCGGTCGCAGAGGTCGTCGAAGGCCGTCTCATCGGCACTATTTGCCTCTGCGTCAAGCCTGATGCGGGCATGTGGGTGGCTGTCAAAATTCTGGTCCCTTATTGGATCCCTATGATGATACGGCACCTAAGATTTAGGGTACCCCAAAAGGGATCGTGATTTTGACAGCCACCCTATGGTTGTGCGCTGTGCATTCTCGCACCCCCCCCCCCCCCCCGCCCCTGCGGTGTGGCTGGGGGATTTGGGTTTCGGGTTTACGTTTTGGGGTTTAGGGTTTAGGGTTTAGTGTTTAGGTTTAGGGTTTAGGGTTTAGGGTTTAGGGTTTAGGGTTTAGGGTTTAGGGTTTGGGGTTTAGGGTTTAGGGTTTAGGGTTTAGGGTTTAAGGTGTAGCTCGGCGAGGTCTCGCGCGCTGGTAACCACGTACTCGTATGCAGACATGCCCACCCCAAGACCACCCAAACACTACTCAAAACGAAAACCAACCGGAGCCAGCCGAACCCGAGACAGCCAAGCCGATTTCAGACGGGTTTACAGACTGCGCCCACAGAGTTTGCTCTGAAACCCTAAACCCTAAACCCTACACCCTAAACCCTAAACCCTAAACCCTAAACCCTAAACCCTAAACCCTAAACCCTAAACCCTAAACCCTAAACCCTAAACCCTAAACCCATACGAAGACTTTGTGAAGGACAGTAGTAGCTTCCGGGAAAAAACGTAGGTTTTGCGGCGGGAGACGTCTTCGGCCGGAGGGCCTTCTCAATGCTTACTCCTCGAGCCTGGAATGTCAAGGTGCAGGGGGAAAGTCATAAAGCCAGAAGCATCCGAGCGAAATTTTCGATTTCGCGTTGGGGGCCGTAAATGTCTGCGACTTCCGCCTGGTTCTTAGTAGTGAATGGGGCAATTAGGTACCCTACGTAATCCCTATATACTCTATATATATATATATATATAGAGGGGGATATCGGGTACCTCATTCCCTCCTTCCCTACTAAGAACCAGCAAGCTCTAGGTTTGAAGGCTTCGTGGGTTTTTTGCTTTACATAATCTTTGGTGGCTTCGAAACATGGCACATGTCAGACCTTTTGGGTTGTTGCTAAGCCCTGAACCCTACACCCTGAACCCTACACCCTACACCCTAAACCCTGAACCCTAAACCCTAAACCCTATACCCTAAACCCTAAACCCTAAACCCCAAACCCCAAACCCCAAACCGAGGCCTGCATGTGGAGCACCGCTCCACTCCACAGGACTCCAGGCACCCAAAGACCTCCTCGTCACTCTGTGGCATCTCATCCTTGGCAGCCCAGTAACCACATTAGAAAAGAAGGTTTAGGGTTTAGGGTTTAGGGTTTAGGGTTTAGGGTTTAGGGTTTCGGGTTTAGGGTTTAGGGTTTAGGGTTTAGGGTTTAGGGTTTAGGGTTCAGGGTTCAGGGTTCAGGGTTCAGGTTACTTTATAAAATTTCTTGAACCAAAAAACGGGAAAAGTGTACCACTGGGCTACCAAGCATCTACGGAGACCCTGCTGTAGTCACTCACTTGCCTGGACATCAGGGCTTGGGGTTTGGGGTTTGGGGTTTAGGGTTTGGGGTTTGGGGTCTGGAGTTTAGGGTTTGGGGTTTGGGGTTTAGGGTTTGGGGTTTAGGGATTGGGGCTTGGGCTTTGGGGCTTCGGGTTTAGGGTTTGGGGTTTAGGGATTGGGAATAGACTTTGGGGTTTAAACCCTCAACAACACACTCCCGCCCAAAACTCCTGGCATTAAACCCTAAATCCCCAAACCCCTAAATCCAAAAAAAACAAACACAGTTTCCCGCGCCTGGGACAGGCTGCCCCCATGACAGCATGAGCCAGCCACTTGAAACTAACAGCTGCGGTCCAGGGTTTTGAGTTCAGAGCCCTACACCCTTAAGCCCTGAACCCTTGAGGGTTTACGGCTGAGGGGCTTAGGTTTTAGGGTCTAGGGTTTAGGGTTTAGGCTTTAGGGTTTAGGGTTTAGGGTTTAGGGTTTGGGGTTAAGGATTATATCAGGGTTGAGGGCTTCGTTGCGCTTCAGGTAAGGCGTCTTGGGCTTTAGGGTGTCTTGGGTGAGGTTGAGTGGTTCATTTGGGGGCGATGGAGCTGAGGGTTTGGGGGGGGGGGGGGGGGGGGGGGGAAGGGGTAAACCTTAAACCCTAAACCCTAAACCCTAAACCCTATATTTTGGTAGGCCCAAAGCCGGCATGCAGCAAAACAAATCTTCTCCAGTGCCCAGTCTTGCTTTAGGGTTTGATTTAATGTTGAGGGGTTTAGGGTTTAGGGTTTGGGTTTAGGGCTTAGGGCTTAGGGCTTAGGGCTTAGGGCTAAGGGCTTAGGGCTTAGGGTTTAGGGTTTAGGGTTTAGGGTTTAGGGTTCAGGGTTCAGGGTTTAGAGTTTAGGGTTTAGGGTTTAGGGTTCAGGGTTCAGGGTTTAGGGTTTAGGGTTTAGGGTTTAGGGTTTAGGGTTTAGGGTTTAGGGTTTAGGGTTTAGGGTTTAGGGTTTAGGAATCAAGTACCCTTTACGATATCCAAAGTAAGCCTAGTGCAAAGGTCATTGGGGTCCAAGGTAAGCTCTAAAGCCAACAAAAGAGCTGCAACAACAGCCCCGAACCATAAATAAACCCTATACCCTAAACCCTAAACCCTAAACCCCTGAATCTTGAAAGCGTAAACTGTGCACCCTTAGAAGACTGAAGCCCTCCTAAAACTTTAAACTTTAAACGTTCGAGTCTTCAACCCTGAATCCTACACCTACATCGCCGTAACATTCTTCAGACCTTTAGACCTTTAGACCTTGAAACCCTTCAAACCTTCCAGTCCTTGAGGCTGTAAGCTCTAAACAATAGGGTTTAGGGTTTAGGGTTTAGGGTTTAGGGTTTAGGGTTTAGGGTTTAGGGTTTAGGCTTTAGGCTTTAGGCTTTACGGTTTAGAGTTTAGGGTTTAGGGTTTATAACCCCTAAACCCAAAACCTTTCAACCATTAAACCTTTCAACCCGACACCCTGCCTGTGACAGCTCGCAGTGGCCACCTGCCTCAGGCGCTGGCTCAGCTAAGCAAAAGCACACCATGGAGCCCTTTTGAGAAGGGCTTAAGGTTTAGGGTTTGGGGTTTCAGGTTTGGGGGCTTAAGATTTCGGGTTTCGGGTTCAGGGTTCAGGAATGATGACAACAGATGATAACGCGAACGGAGATCATCTTGAGGCTTCTCATCATTGCAACACTCATGGGAACAATAAGGGTATAAGCCTGGCAACAAGTCAAATGTTAAATCATACTAGCGCTGATAGTCAAGTCAGAAAAATAGAAGCAGGATACGCCAACAGAGGTAGTAGCTTGATCTGTAACAATATCCGAGGAACAAGACTTAGAATAATGGTCGTCATCATCGCACTCCTCATGGTAATGACGATCATGATGATGATGGTGATGATGGTGATGATGATGATGATGAGGGCGACGACGACGAAGATGATGATGATGATGGTGATGATGATGATGATGATGACGACGTCGTCATAGAAGGATGCCTTGTTGTGGGGGAGGATGGTGCTTAAAGGGTGTCTTCAGGGGCAGCAGAGGGTTTAGGTTTTGGGCCTCAGAGCGACTCCGGGGGGTTCTTAAATGGTCCCTTCATATGGTCGCTTGTGCTACTGGCCCCAAACCCTAAACCCTAAACCTAAAACCTAAAGCCTAAACCCTAAGCTCTAAGCCCTCGTAAGGTCCTTGTTGTTGCCATATCAATATGTTGTCCTCCCCCCAGGGCTCCAAGGAGGGGATGCCTACGCCAGCAAGTACAGTAAGGGTTTAGGGTTTAGGGTTTGGGGTTTTGGGTTTTGGGTTTAGGGTTTGGGGTTTAGGGTTTAGGGTTGAGGGTTGTGGGTTGAGGGTTGAGGGTTGAGGGTGATCCCCGTTATCCAGGGCAGGCGTTTTTGGAGGCAGTTTGGAGTCTGGAGTTGTTGAGTTAGGGCTTCTGTGGCTTCAATTAGGTTTTGTAACAGCCTCATCGGCTGCAGGTCTAGGGTTTAGAGTTTCGATTGTTATTGAGGACTTCTGGTGCTGCTTGCGGGCTTCCAGGTTGTTGTAGGGTTGTTGACACTCTGATTGTAGTTAGGGTTTGGAGTTTTCAGGGTTTGTTAGGGACTTCAGGACTTTTAGGGTTTAGGGTTTAGGGTTTAGGGTTTAGGGTTTAGGGTTTAGGGTTTAGGGTTTAGGGTTTAGGGTTTAGGGTTTGGGGTTTAGGGTTTAGGGTTTGGGGTTTGGGTTGGGGTTTGGGTTTGGGGTTTGGGGTTTAGGGTTTAGGGTTTAGGGTTTAGGGTTTAGGGTTTAGGGTTTAGGGTTTAGGGTTTAGGGTTTAGGGTTTAGGGTTTAGGGGCTTTCGGGGCTTCATTCGCGGTTCAGGGACACTCTGCGCGAGGGGCGGGCTGCTTTTGACTCGCAGTGCACAATAGGTTGAGATGCGTTCGCACAACCTAACAACAAGCTGATTCTGAGTAGTTCTCTAAATTAGGGTGCCTCTGGCCAGGGTCCTTGATTACAAGATGCCATAACCCTAGAACCCTACACCCCTACACCCCCTACACCCCTACACCCCTACACCCCTACACCCCTACACCCCTACACCCCTACACCCCTACACCCCTACACCCCCTACGCCCCCTACGCCCCCTACGCCCCTAAACGCTAAACCCTAAACCCCAAACCCTAAACCCGAAACCCTAAACCCTAAACCCCAAACCCTAATTCAGAGAACTACCTTTTCTGGCCTGGAGGTGGATCCACCGCTAGCTGCGGTCCGGCTCACAGGCAAGGCTGTGAGGCGGGATCTAGGGTTTAGGGGTTTAGGGCTTAGGGTTTAGGGTTTAGGGTTTAGGGTTTAGGGTTTAGAGTTTAGGGTTTAGGGTGTAGGGACCCTTCAGGCCTTTTTAGGAGCCTCAGGGCTCTATGAGTCGAGGTGGAACTCCAGGGCTCTTGTGCAGGGAGGTCTCACAGATTGGTCCACGAAACATCCTTTGAGGATGTGTAGAGCTGAGCATTCGGCGAAGACGTGAATCAAGGGACTAAAGGAGGGACCCTTCTAAGGGACCATAGGGACCATTTAGGGGGCTATTTAGGTACATAGGGACTATATATATATATATATATCTGTCTATATATATATATATACATACATAGGTTGTATATGGCTTATGTATGGAAGAAAAACTAAGCGTGTCCCTTCTAGGGGTCCCTCCCTACACCCCTTACCATGAAGAAATTCGGCACTTGTTGGCGGCCGGGATGTCGAAACAAGCGTGAGGGCCCATGCTTTTGCACAGACATCTGCCGTGCTCGGTTTGGGTATTTCGCGAAGGGCCCCTTGTTGGGTATCGCAGGGAAACAAAACGCTGAACCCGACCTGCGTCATGTAGCTACCCAACCCCCTGGAGGAGATCTGTTGGAATATGACTATGCATATATATATATATATTATACATACATATATACATACATATATATATATATATATTATTTATGTATATATATATATATATACGTTTTATATACATATAACATTAAACGTGATTCTCCTCTCCCTCCCAGGGGTCTGGGTATGAACTGCTGCAGGGGACCTTTGGCTCTCTTAGGCAAAACGCTGCACGTCCGTCACCTTGGCTGTGGCCAGGAGCGTGATCTGATCGTCAATCCTTGGAGAAGGCAGCATGGAAATGAGGGGATGAGGGTACCCTACATCATCCCTTAATGTATATATATATATGTGTATATATATATATCTCCTAAGGTCCCCGAAGTCCCTTCAAATTCGGATTTTTTCTCTGGGTACCTTGTTACAAAACCGGCCCTGATTCGGGGTGCGCTCCACATACTTGAGCCGGTCATGTGCTGTATGCACGGTGGAAGCAAGATGCTTCACTGCGTGCTATCGGACAGGCGCGCAGAGGCAACAGAAGCTCCCAGGAGCTTCGGATGCTCCATCTCTTTCCATCTCCAAACTAGAAACTGGGGTGGGGGCTAATCTTGAATAAGGTAACCCTGTGGCTAACCTGTCGGGAAAAACCCTACGTTGCGAGCAGGGATTCCATGGTGCAGGATGTGAGGAACCCAAAGCTGCAGTTCAACAGCCACTGAACCTTGAAGCTTCCGAGAAGACTCCACCCTAAACCCTCGAACCAAATCCAGTGCACCCTTGAACTACATGAGGATCTCCCTTACACCCCAAACCCTAAACCCCAAACCCCACACCCCACACCCCACACCCCAAACCCCAAACCCCCAACCCCAAACCCTGACTAAACCCTATACCCTAAACCCTAAACCAACGAGTCTCTTGTCAAAGGGTCACTCCAACCTTAAACCCTATACCCCCTAAACTGCCTGAACCCAAAACTAAACCCCAAATCTTGGGGTGTTCAGGGTTGAGGGTTTAGGGTTTAGGCATTCTCGGGGGTACTATAATCCCTATTAAGGACTGTTGGCTAGCATCAGGGGGAACATCCCAACCCAAATCCCAAACCCGCTAAACCCTTAAACTCCCTTAAGCCTTAAACCCTCAACCCGAAGCCCCTTACCCTTACCCCCTTAACCCCTAAACCCCAAACCCCAAAATGCCCCAACATTATCCCCCAAATGCCCCAAAATACCCCCCAGAATGCCGCACAAATACCCTGGCCAGCCGAGAGTCATCCTCCTGGCAGGCCTGTTCTGTGATGGTCGGCTCGGCCGCCGGGCGATGATCTCCGCGGTCTCAAGAGCACCTGTGCATTGAGATCGGGAATTCGAGGGTTTAGGGTTTAGGGTTTAGGGTTTAGGGTTTAGGGTTTAGGGTTTAGGGTTTAGGGTTTAGGGTTTAGGGTTTAGGGTTTAGGGTTTAGGGTTTCGGGTTTCGGGTTTAGGGTTTAGGGTTTAGGGTTTAGGGTTTAGGGTTTAGGGTTTAGGGCTTAGGCCCTAAACCCTAAACCCTAAACCCTAAACCCTAAACCACGAACCCAATGACATACGAACGTTGCAGACTGGCAAGTAGAGCCAAACCCGAAACCATGTACCCGGCAAGATACTGGACCAACTTCCCAACCGAAACTAACCCTGAAGGGTTTAGGGCTTAGGTACTTGGGGTTGTGAAGTTGACCTTGAACATCAAGTCCAACACACAGAAACCGCACAGGTCTAAATCTATGCACTCTCTTGTAACACCCCTCCTCCAGCCAGACCGATTTTGTCTAAACCCTAAACTCTAAACCCTAAACCCTAAACCCTGAACCCTAAAACTTGCCCGTGATAGAAATAGGGTTTCTAGTCTGGGGGGTTGGGGGGCGAGGGGGGGTGCCGAGGGCGGAGGGGGGCTAGCTGCTTCTACCCACAGGCGCCCATCATGGCTTTGATCTGCTCCTCCAGCCGTCTGACATTCTTCTCCTTCACTGTGGATCCATGCTTGAAAGTTCTGTGTACTTATTAACCCGCATTAGAACTGTACTTATAAGCCCCCTGAGTCCCCTCAGTAGGTTACAAGTAGATATATAATTGTAGTTATAAGTACCAAGTAGAGGCTTCTGGGTGTGGCATGGGTGGAGCAGGCAAGGACAAGCTTGTTTGTGCACAGCGCTTCGGCAGCATTCAACATATCTTATTTTCTGAAATGTCCTGAGCCCCCCCCCCCCCCTCCCCCACCAAAATACCAAAGCCCAACAACCATAAACCCAACAAAAAACCCTAAAACCTTAAACCCAAACCCATCAAACCTCGTTACAAAGCCATAAGCACGGAACTCATAAGTTGGGATGTTCCCCCTGATACTAACACTCCTTTATAGGGATGATCATAGGGGGCCATGAGCCTCCAAAAACACCCTGGACTGATGCTTCAACATTACATCCCCCGAGGCCTGGACCGAATCTTCTACTCTCCGAATTGGGTTCAGGGTTCAGGGTTCAGGGTTAGGGTTTAGGGTTCAGAGCTTAGGGTTTAGGGTTTAGGATTTAGCGTTTAGAGGGTTGACAAGGCTGACAAGGTTTATAAGGCTGGGGCCCAAGAAACCACATGACATGAGGATGCTACGAAGAGGGTTTGCAGAATCCCCCTTACAGGGGCCCTGAAACCGCAATAGCAGGATCCTTATGTTTATGTGGTGCTTTGGCCCCTGGTATAAGGCTTGTAAGCTTTTAGGGGCCCTAACCCCGAAACCCTAAGCCCTAAACCCCTAAACCTCCAAACCCTAAACCCTAAACCCATGCCGGGTCTCCATCATGATCTGATCGATGGCTCGAGCCGGACCCTTACATCTGAGGATGCCATCGATGAAGTCTGCACACGTAATTTGCCCATCACCTGGATGAAGGGGTTCAGGGTTTAGGGTTTAGGGTTTAGGGTTTAGGGTTTAGGGTTTAGGGGTTAGGGGTTAGGGGTTAGAGGGGTTAGAGGGGTTAGGGGTTGAGGTGTGGGCCTTTGGGGTTTCGAGCTTCATCACCTAGATCACGGTGTTTAGGACATTTCAGAGGGACCCAAGATGTTCTCCGCGTCTTAAGTTAGACATGCTGGCTGAGGGAATCCGCGCACCGGATGGGGCCAACTGGCCCCAAGAATCCGGGAAACCCGTAAGCCCTTAACCCCTGACCCTAAATCCTAAACCCTAAATCCTAAACCCCTAAACCCCTGACCCTAAAACCCTCAACCCTAAACCCTAAATCCTAAACCCCTAAACCCTAAACCCTAAACCCTAAACCCTAAACCCTAAACCCCATACCTTAAACCCTAAACCCCTAGCCCCTAAACATCAGGATCGGGCCACAAACATCAAGTCCGCTACGTGAGCGAAGGGTTTCGGGCAAGGCAGGTGACAGCTGGGTTTGGGGTTTAGGGTTTAGGGTTTAGGGGTTAGGGGTTAGGGTTTAGGGCTTAGGGCTTAGGGCTTAGGGCTTGGGGCTTAGGGCTTAGGGCTTAGGGCTTCGGGCTTCGGGCTTCGGGCTTATGCATCCCAGCCACTGTTAGCCAGCAAGTGGAAGAGGGCGGAGGACTGCATCACGTCGATCTCTAGCGTCTCCAAATACCTGGGTGCTTTTGGGGTTTTGCGACCCGCCGACCCGCTGACAGCTACACTTCTATGGGTCGTATACTAATTCCTACACCCTAAACCCTAAACCCCAAACCCCAAACCCCAAACCCCAAACCCCAAACCCCAAACCCCAAACCCTAAACCCCAAACCCTAAACCCTCGACCCAAACCCCAAACCCTAGACCCCAAACCCTAAGCCCCAACCCGCCAAACCCAGAGGCCCAACCCGCCAAACCCTTAACCCTGGACCCCAAACCCCAAACCTAAATTTTAAACCCCAAACCCTAAACCCTAAGCCCTAAACCCTAAACCCTAAATCCTAAACCCTAAATCCTAAACCCTAAACCCTAAACCCTAAACCCTAAACCCTAAACCCTAAACCCTAAACCCTAAACCCTAAACCCAGTTGCGTCGTCACCCTCGAGTCCATGAACAACTCGTTGAGCTCATCCTCGTCGATCAAGCCATCCTGACTCTCCTTGAGTTTCGAAAAGCTTAGGGGCTGTTTAGGGTTTAGGGTTTAGGGTTTAGGGTTTAGGGTTTAGGGTTTAGGGTTTAGGGTTTAGGGTTTAGGGTTTAGGGTTTAGGGTTTAGGGTTTAGGGGCTGTTTAGGGTTTAGGGTTTAGGGTTTAGGGTTTAGGGTTTAGGGTTTAGGGTTTAGGGTTTAGGGTTTAGGGTTTAGGGTTTAGGGTTTAGGTGTTTAGGGTTTAGGGTTTAGGGTTTAGGGTTTAGGGTTTAGGGTTTAGGGTTTAGGGTTTAGGGTTTAGGGTTTAGGGTTTAGGATTTAGGGTTTAGGGTTTAGGATTTAGGGTTTAGGGTTTGGGGTTTGGGGTTTAGGGGTTAGGGGTCAGGGTTTAGGGCGCTTTCGGGCTTCGGGCTTTTAGGGCTGAATCGGGGTTGCTTGTATTTTGAGAGCCCTGTGCTCAGAGTACTCTTAGTCGTGCTCGCAGCAGAATACCCGGAAGACCACCCTGCAGCTTCTTCACTGGTTTAGGGTTTAGGGTTTAGGGTTTAGGGTTTAGGGTTTAGGGTTTAGGGTTTAGGGTTTAGGGTTTAGGGTTTAGGGTTTAGGGTTTAGGGTTTAGGGTTCAAGGACCTCACCCTCGAATACTTTCAGCTGCGTCCGGTGTGCGTCAATAGCGTTGAAGATGGCCTCGAGCTTGTGAATATAGGTGGCCTTTCGTCGCAGACCTGTTTGCGCAGAGTGTCTTAGGGTAGTTACATGGTCCCTTAGTATGGGCCCTGAAACAGGGGCCCTTAGATATCCCTCATATACCCTATACAACCCAAGGGCCCATACATCAAGGGCCCATGTAATTACCCTTAGAAAGTGTGGGGAAGCGGACGCCGAGGGGTACAGAATCGGAGCCCCCCACGTGTATGCGTACAGAGGCTGGGTCGAGGGCTTGTTGGGAGACCCTAAACCCTAGCCCCTAGCCCCCAAACCCTGAACCATAACCCGAACCCTAAACCCGGCCTTCTTGCACCATGAGCTCGGCATCGTTATTGGCAGCCTCAAGGGTCTCGCGCAAAAAGATGGCGGTGATCACTCGAATGACCTTGGGGGGGGGGGGGGGGGGGGTTTGTGTTCGTTCTGAGGGTTGCGTTTGAAAGGTTTAGGGCAGGATTTAGGGTTTAGGGTTTAAGGTCTAGGGTTTAGGGTCTAGGGGTGCATGGAGGCAGTTCCTCAACTGTGGCCCCCAACCTGAAACGTCGAAAGACATTTTGGGGTCAAAAGGAGATTTTGTAATTCAGGAGATGATGGGGTCTGTCAGAAGCTCCTCTTTTGGACTACCCTCATTTTCCTTCCTTATACAAAGCTGTATAGCCCGAATAACACACTGAGCGCACATTGCATTAGCAGCACAAAAGCAGTAGATATACCTATATATGTATACGTACACACACATCAACAAATATAGATATGAAGATACAGAAGAAGGTTAAATACAAAGATAAAACATGAATATGAAAAGATATACATAAACAAACGAATAAACACATGCACACACACACACACACACACATATATATATATATATATATACATATATGCACATACATACATATATACATACATATAACATATATATATATATACATATGTACATATGCATGTATTTATTTATTTATTTATGTATTTATTTATTTATTTATATTTCTTTATGCATATATATATAGAGAGAGAGAGAGTAGATATAGAGAGAAAGGGAGAGACAGAGAGAGGGAGAGAGTAAGAGAGAGACAGAGCGGGACGGAGAGAGGGCGAGAGAGAGAGAGAGAGTACGGCGTGTAGAGCCACCCAGGACGTGCGCTTGTCCCCACAGGCATTCCAAAGGTCTTCGACTTTTTCATTTTTCCGGCTCACGCCGACGATGGGGAACGGCGGGGTACGCTTGATCCCGTTTTCAGCGTATCCTAAACCCTAAACCCTAAACCATAAACCCTAAACCCCAAGCCCTAAGCCCTAAACCCTAAACCCTTTGCTTCAACCTCGAGGCCTACACCCTGGACCCCTACAGCAAACACCTTACCCCGTCAAACATGGGCACGCTGTGGCTCGGAGAGAACCGCGGCCATAGGAAAACAAGAGCTTGCAAAGTGAATCCCAGGTGCCGCAAAGACCACGAAGGTGATGTACAGCACGAAGAAGATCGCGTAGAATTTGCTCACATGCTCAATTACAGGTCTTGCGTAGATCCCCCAATTCCCGGCGAAGGTGATTTCCTTAGCGGTGAAGGCTGCTGGAGTAGACCAAAGCGGTGGCCCTGTTGCTGGGGATTTCAATCCAACTCATCGGAGCGCTGGGATGGTAGATGGTGTTGTTGCAGACTGTTCTGGGGGTTACGTAAATCGGGACCCCTAAAACAGACCCCCCCCCTAATAGTAGGATGCCCATATGATAAGGACCCCAACAAGGTACCCCTAACTTCGGAACCCCCGCCCAACCCTAAACCCTAAACCCTAAACCCTAAACCCTAAACCCTAAACCCTAAACCCTAAACCCTAAACCCTAAACCCTAAACCCTAAACCCTAAACCCCCAAACAACTGAGCAGGCTTCGTACATGGTGTAGATCGCCCGGAAAGAGGTTCCGTAGTGGAGCCAAATCCAGTCCCGATTGTCGGCATCCTGTACAGCAGTAGGCTGAGCGTTTGAAGTCTTGTTTTGGGGCTTTTGGGTCTGGGCTGGGGGTTTAGGGTTTAGGGTTCGGGGTTTTGGGGTTTAGGGTTTAGGGTTTGGGGCTTAGGGTTTAGGGTTTAGGCTTTTGCCCCAGGGCCTGTGACTCATCAATGATGAAGTCCTGGAGCAGGTTTCCGATCAGAAGGCCTCGGACATCGCTGGAGGGAGAGGAGCAAGGCCTGTAGGGCTTAGGGTTTAGGGTTTAGGGCTTAGGATTTAGGGTTTTGGGTTTTGGGTGTAGGGTATAGGAGCGTGTTTAGAGGGTCTACAGCGTCTAGACGGCTTGCTAGGGCTTATAGAATAGAGGTTGTAGGATTGATGGGATTTATACTTTGTTGAGGGGTTAACTGTTTGGATTTGCTATGGCTTTCAGGTTTGGGAACTTACGGGGCTTCAAGGTTTGCTTGGAGGTTCCTGGGTACTTATAGCCACAACTGTAAATCTACTTATAACCTACTTAGGACTTAGGGGACTTACAAGTACAGATATAATTGGGGTTAATCATAACCCTAAACCCTAAACCCTAAGCCCCAAACCCTAAACCCTATAATTGGGGTTATAAGTACCCTGATTCGCGGTGGCCGCACGGTTCCTTTCTACAGGGGTTTGTAGGGCTTTGGGTTGAGGGTTTAGGGTTTAGGACCCAAAACGCCCAAACTACCTTGAACCTAAAACCCCAAACTCGAAACGTGATAAACCCTGAACTCTATACATGATGAACCCCAAGCTCTGTAAACTCTAGCACTTATATAACCTAAACTCCACAAATACATACCGTAAACACTGTGAATTCTCAACCCTGAACACTACAAATTACAAACCCTCGTAAACCCTGCACCCCAAACCTGAACCCCAAACCTGAACCCCAAACCCAAAACCCCAAACCCTAAACCCCAAACCCTAAACCCCAAACCCTAAACCCCAAACCCTAAACCCCAAACAGCCCTTATCACCCCGAAGCACCCACGGACCCACACGTGCCCGCCCAGCTGCCGGAGGAAAGCATGCAAAGGCCCAGCCTCAGCAACTTATCGGCTTAGGGTGTGCTCAGGCTCTGGGGTTTAGGGTTTAGGGTTTAGGGTTTAGGGTTTAGGGTTTAGGGTTTAGGGTTTAGGGTTTAGGGTTTAGGGTTTAGGGTTTAGGGTTTAGGGTTTAGTGTTTAGGGTTCAGGCGGGTGTAGGCTTCAGGGCTCTGAGGTTGCTGAGCCTGGAGATGGCATCTGGGGCTTTGAGGGTAATGGGCTTCAGATCCTGGGCTTCAAAGGCTTTCAGGGTTGAGGGTTTAGGGTTTAGGGTTTTAGGGTTTAGGGTTTAGGGTTTAGGGTTTAGGGTTTAGGGTTTAGGGTTTAGGGTTTAGGGTTTAGGGTTTAGGGTTTAGGGTTTAGGGTTTAGGGTTCCAAGCATTGGCCCTTCATTTGGGTCCCTGACGATGTAGCCCTTATCTACACTACACTTAGTAAGGGCCCATACTTCGGATCCCCATGGTAAGGGACCAAGTTCCAACCTTAGATTTAGGGTTAAGGCTGTTTAGGGTTTTAGGGATAAACCCTTTCACCCTAGGAAACCTCAGCCCTCGACCTTAAAGCCAGACCCCTAAACCCTGGAGCCCACAGAACCCCCCAAACCTTAGAAACCCGAAACCCTGAACCCTAAACCCTAAACCCGAAACCCCTAAACCCTAAACCCGAAACCCTAAACCCGAAACCCCAAACCTCGCGCGCGCAACCAAGGAGCAAAGCCATGGACCAACTGAGTGAAGGAAGGAAGGAACTGCAGGCCTTCACCAGCACGCGCAGGCCTGGGCGAGTTTAGGGTTTAGGGCTTAGGGCTTAGGGTTTAGGGTTTAGGGTTTAGGGTTTAGGGTTTAGGGTTTAGGGTTTAGGGTTCTGGGCGTGAGGAGTTTGGAGTTTGGGGTTTAGGGTTCTGGGCGTGAGGAGTTTGGAGTTTGGGGTTTGGGGTTTAGGGTTTAGGGTGGGGTTTTGGGGTTTTGCGGTTTTGCTGTTTTGCTGTTTTGGGGCTTTTGGGGTTTTGGGGTTTTGGGGTTTTGGGGTTTTGGGGTTTTGGGGTTTCGGGGTTTCGGGGTTTCGGGGTTTCGGGGTTTTGGGGTTTTGGGGTCCGCCGACCCTGGCGGCGTGTTGGATGGGAAAAGGAGGTGAAAACCTCCCTCTTTCCCTCCTTGCCCCCCCAACGCAGGGGGGGGGGGGGGTAGGGGGGGTCGCTTTTCCAT